ATATAATAATAAAAGCGTAATATGCTGATTAGATTGGACAGCTGAAGGAACTTCCGAACCACCTTCCAGACAAAGCTGGGGCTGCGAGGGCCAAGCCCCTTGCACAAATTTCATGCATCAGCCTCTAGTCAGGTATAAAATCCAGGACTGGACTCAGTTGTCCCCATTTGTCCAGTGCTTTTACTTAAGAATTGCTTCCAAGGCATACACACAGCTTTGTAAAATAAAATATAGTTAGAAAAGGTCAATGGTCTACGGCCACACCACCCTGAACACGCCCCATCTCGTCTGATCTCGGAAGCTAAGCAGGGTTGGGCCTGGTTAGTACTTGGATGGGAGAAAAGGTCAATGGAGGGGGGGCAAGGGGGCATATGTAATACTTTCAACAATGAAGATTTAAAATAATATAAAATATGCAAAACCTGAGAAATCTTCATTACAGAGATCTCCATTTGGTAGGAGTAAAGAAATTGTTAAAATAATTCAGATGAATTGTGTCATTAGTATGATGAAAAAGTGAAGGCACTCTTCCTCCAAGAATAATTATAGAGCAAGAAACAAATGTTTTGTGAGTGATTAGGGGCCGTGCGCTGTAAATATGTAGCCATCAGTGTGTTAGCGTTATGAGCATATTCAGAAAATTTCACTGTACAATAAACAGCTACATCAATATTCAATAAAGCCCAGGGCAAATAGAAAAAAAAAATGAATTCTCACTATGTAGAGATTTGCTTATGAGTGAAGAATACAAAGAACCAAAGGGCAGAAAGAAGGCAAGAGTATGGCTTCTACCAGAGGATCTACGCAAACAGAACCTGCCTACTCCTGGAATAGGTTGAGCTTTCCCAGCTGGCGGGAGTGTCCGGATGGAGTGCTGGTGACACGGGCAGGAAGCAGGAGGACAGCTCCTATGTCTGTCTGGGAAGCAACTCTGATCCTTCCTTCCTCAGTCCCAGAGGGAAGGATGGGATCTGGCTAATTGTGGCTTTGTGGCTAGACATAGTGAGCCAAGAGCGGAGGCTGGGCAAGGCTAGTGCCCACAGTGCCCTTGGCCTCTCCATACAAGTCCATGACAAGGGGGTAGTCAGCGGAAATGGAATGCATCATGTTTTGTGGAAATACACATATTTGGCCCCAGGAATACTGAGTCAAAACATCTCACGTTGCTCAACCAAGAGAAGTAAACAAGGGCCACAGGGTCCCTTGCACTAGGGCACGGGATCTGATAAGCATTCAGGATGAGGGAACGGCCTCCCCAGCAGACAGACACAGCTTCTCAAGGATAAATGGGGGGTTCTGGGTATAGGTGGGGATAGCTTCTCTTTGTGTTGCTGTACGGATCCGAAGGAAAATCCCAAGTGAATTATTCGGGGGGAAAAAAACAAAAAACAAAAAAACGAGAACCAGGGCACCTTTGATAAGGAAGGGCTCCTATGAGAAAAAAAATGCTGAGATTATCTAAGGGTCAGAAAGGCAAAAACATGTTTCATGCTAATTTCCAAGAAGCTTTTTAGAATTTTTATAGGTAATCCATTACCAGATGCAACTGCTAAAGACTAGCAAGGCATTTTCCTTGAATAAATATAGTGACAAAGGTTTAAATTTCACAAAAACTAATCAGAATTTTCCATGTGTCCCTAACAAGCCTCTTTGGGGGCCATTCTTCCCGCTTTGAGCTGACCCCTCACCCCTGCATTCTTCTACCTGTTTATAGCAAAACAAAGACAGCAGGTTCTCTGAACCAGCAACAGTCATTTGGAACATGTGAGATTCTGGAAAAATCACACACACACACACACACACAGGGGAATACCCATCTTGGAACTCAGTTTTACCACGTTGCCATCTCCAATGTTAATAATAAAGACCCATCTGGCCCTTTGTAATTGAAAGGCATTTTTATTTTATTGCGACAGAGAACCTTGGAACCATTTTTTATTTTGGCAGTAAAAATGCAACATACATACATCACGCCTCGAGAACAAAGAGTTAGCTAGCCTGAACGTCCCATCCCACAGCACCGTTTCAATGGCAATATTCCTTTACATTTCTTTACGTTCACCAAACACTTCCACAGTCCTTCCTCTGTGCTGGCAGCAGTTGTAAGTGCTTTACAAATCATAACTTTTTTACGCTCTCAGATCTGGTTATATCTAAGAGGAATACCTATGAGGTACTATACTATTTCCGTCCATTCCAGAGATGGGGAGAATAAAGCACCGAGAGATTGAATGACTTGCTCATGGTCACACAGCTCATGAGAGGCAGGAGTGATTGGAACCCAGGCAGTCATGCTCCAGAGTCCATGTTCCCCTTCCTTATTCTGCCTCTTGAATGTTCACCAAATCTAAGTTAAGAGGAACTGTGGTTTGTTCAGGATCATCTTACAGATTTTATAACATTATCATTTCAACATTTAAGCTCATGCCCTGTTGCAGCTTTCTCAGATTCTTGAGGAACAGCAAGAAGGAAGAGGTAAATGCTATTACAGTAAATGCAATATTTGACCACTTTCAATCTTTTGGAAACAAAATAAAGGCATAGAAAATAATAAAATAGCACCCTGTATTTGCTGGGAAAGCTACTGTGCAAAAAGCAACTCTTAGCAGGTTTCTATTTTATAATGCCACTGAACTTTTGAAAGGCCTTTACGTGCATACAACTTCAGAATCACCAAGCTGGCTCAGACTAGGGAAAATTTAACTACATGGCAGAGACTTAGCATCACTCCTTCGGGTTCTTTCTGGGGAATACCTCTAAGAGATAGAAGAGTTTTCTCCTTGGAATTCTCTTATCACATCTGGCAGAGTGCTCTGCCCTCCTCCGCCTCTGCCCATTGCTTGGCACTCTGCCTTCAGGGAAGGTCACTTCACTGTGCTCAGGGCCTTCTGCCAGGGCAGCTTTGTCCTAGGCGGGGTTGGGGGGGTACTGTGCACCCCCCAAACCACTTCAGCATTTCCTTTGGGAGTGGCCTGCAAATGAAGGCAGCAAAAGAGGAGGAAACTATCTCCATTCCTGCGAAGAAACCACTCATTTTTCATTTGGGAAAGGTGCCTGTGAAAAAGGTACACTCTTCCCCGTTTGACTTTCAAAGCCTGATTGCTCTTCAAATTCCACACCTGTGGCCTCCAGCTGTGCAAATACTTCTAAAGGAGGTAAAACTGGCAGAAGACTATATTCCACCAGCTACCATTCTTCTTTATGACCATCTTCCCTTAAAAAACAATGTTGAGTAGAATAAGCTGTGTGTGTGGGGGGGGGGGGGGGGGGGGGGGGGCGCGGCGCGGGAAGGGAGGACGCAGGACAGCTTTGCCTAGTTCTTTTATTTACTGGAAACTAGAGTTACCAGCATCTCCCTTTATCATAGAATGTAATGGCCCAGTTGTGCAAAAAGTCTGACCCAGTGGCTTGCAGAAAGCAGGTAGACAAACATTAATCCCGTTTACCTTTCCGCCCCTAAACAGAGATGTCAGCCTGTCGTGCAATTAGAGAGTCATCCTGTGACCGTCCCTCTCCCTCCTTCAGAGAGTTCAGGATAGACATCAGATATAATTCTCAAAGGCTGAAACTTCCAAGGGAACACCTAACTCTAATTTACTTAGATTTAATTTGCTTAAAGTGAACTTAGATTTACTCCTCACACTATCAACATGTTCCTCCTCTTCCAGCTCCAGCTTTTGTTAACTACCCTTCTCTATTCCTCTAGGGCCCCTGCTTATTAGCAGTAAAACACTGGGATATATAGAACCCACTTTTGTTACCATCATCTCAACAGATCTGCCCACCTCATACTCTAAAGGTGTCCCTGAAATTTACTTAATTATTTGTGGGTGTTTTGTGGGTGTTGTTTTTTTTTTTTGGGGGGGGGGGGGTTGGTTTTTGGTGTTTGATTGTTTTTTGTTTGTTTGTTTGTTTTTTCTGAGGGGAGTGAGATATAATTTTGAAATCCAGATAAAATACTGGGAACAAATTTCTCCCAATTTCGTGATGTAGCTTTGATTTTTACCATAAAAATGTCCATTTATGACCTAACCAGTTTGGCTCAGTGGATAGAGGGTCAGCCTGTGGACTGAAGGGTCCTGGGTTTGATTCAGACAAGAGCACATGCCTGGGCTGTGGGCTCGAATCCCCAGTAGGGGGTGTGCAGGAGGCAGCTGATCAGTGATGTTCCTATCTCTCTCTCCCTTTCCTTTCCTCTCTGAAATCAATAAAAATATTTTTTTAGCCGAGACCAGTTTGGCTCAATGGATAGAGCGTCGGCTTGGGGATTGAAGGGTCCCAGGTTCGATTCCGGTGAAGGGCATGTACCTTGGTTGCAGGCACATCCCCAGTAGGGGGTGTGCAAGAGGCAGCTGATCGATGATTATCTCTCATTGATGTTTCTAACTCTCTATCTCTCTCCCTTCCTCTCTGTACAAAATCAATAAAAATATATTTTAATATATATATTAAATATATTCGTGATCAAGGAAAAGGTAAAAATTCGTGTTTTGACTTGACACTTATTACATGATTACTTAAAGAACTTAAAAAACGATGCCTTGTTTGATTCTACTGGGTGGTCCATTTAGAACACAGTCAACAGTCAATACAACCTCACTTCAAAAAAAAAAAAAAAAAAGAGGCCTCTTTCCACAACAGCTATGGTAAGGATTTTATACCTTAAGTTTATTTAGTGTAAATACAGTCTAGACTCATTATCTTACCCCCATCTCAGAGCCTGCAGCAAAGGAAAGAGTGAGCCTGGTCAGAAAACGGAAGCAGGAGAGATTGGAGACCAATGCCTCAGGGAGCATCCTGTGAGGAGCCAAACGGGCTCCTTACAGTGGGCGGCTCAGGGGGGAAAGCGGCAGAGCCTGGGACAGTCACTGAACCCTCCCATGTCAGAATCCTACCAGCAAGTGCTGTGTCTAAGGAGCCCTCTGGTGTGCAGTGAAGCATGGAATGGGGGTGGAGAGCCCCCCTCCCAGAAAGCCGAAGTCCCGGGAGATGATACTCACGCTGGCAGTGTCCCCAGGACTGGCGGGTCCAGCCCCAGCAGCAGTCAATCCTCCCACCATACCGACACAGGCCAATGGACGACACTATTTGCCTGGGCCACCTAGCGAACAGAAAGATTCAAGATAAATAAAGACACGTTTGAAATTAAAAGTAATTTCCTCGTTGTCATTATGTTAGAAAATCATTAAATCACACAACACACGAAACTCCTTCATTCTTGCAGGATTTAAGGATTAAAAACACCTCAGGGGAATAGTTCTGCCATGAAGTAATTTCGAATTTCAGACAGTTCGACAGACACACAACTCACGAGAGTAGGGGGAAGAGGGAGGGGAAGATTCTTTCTTAAATGGAAATACCCTGTTTCCCCGAAAATAAGACAGTGTCTTATATTAATTTTTTTCTCCCAAAGTTGCGCTAGGTCTTATTTTCAGGGGATGTCTTATCTTTCCATGCGCTAGGTCTTATTTTCGGAGGATGTCTTATTTTCGGGAAAACACGGTAGCACCAGCTAAAAAACAAACAAACAAGGTTTCTCAAGGCTGCCACTCTCAAGGTGGTTTCTGAAGCTTGAAATAAAGCAGATCCCTCACAGACCCACACCTATGGGGGGAGGAGGGGGCCGGTTTTGACGGATTCATCATACACTGAAAAGTATGAAGACATGTCAGAGTGGAAAGAAAACAATTTCTGCCTTATATAAAAGGGAGGTGTGGGAAGGGGCAGAGAGTGGGGCAGAGGAAGCTTCCATAAAACCCAACAGAACTCTTTGCAAGATAGGACTCTCTGGCAGAAAAAGTTCCCAGAAAGAAAAAAATATATATATGTACTACAAAAAGAAGCCTAAATAAAACCAAGGGAGCTGAAAGGGCAGCTAACATCTCAACTGTTCTTGTGATGTGAAACTTTCCTGCATCAACAACTCACGTTATCATCATCTTCCTCTCCAAGGTAAGGACTAAAACAAGTACTCCATTTCAGGATATTGATTGATCCACCAGATTCCACTTTGGCATCTTCTTTGGCGAATTGTTTCCTTGTTTGGAAACAATGACTCCCGCCCCCACACGCCCCCCCCCCCCAGCCCTCGCACCCCCAAGAGGATCAATATTTTCATTGGCTGTTTCAGACATCTTTAAAAACTACATTATCATCTTAAACTTACTCGTGTGATGCACTTCTTGTTACAAATGTGTCTGCAAGAAATGCACAACCTACCCGAATGTGGGCAAAGAACTGTTTTTAAAACAATAAAATACTCTGGCTCCTGCCCGTGTTTTTTGTTTGTTTGCTTTTGTTTTGTCTTGTTTTGTTTTTAGCCTTTCGGTTTTCTTTATCCCCCTCCACAATCTCCCCCGCCCCCCCATAGCACATTATACAAAATAACCCCAACTTTCTCTTTCCACCGACCAGGTGGTGGTAAACAAGCGGCTGCGCTCCACTGGTTCCCTTCCGTTCCCCTCCAGGTACAAGAAAGCCAATCAATCGTGGAATTGATTGGTTCCAAGATTGCAAGCAAAACAGGTGCTGCAGTCTCGGGCAGCCCGGGGAGGTGGCTGGCGGGTGGGGGTCGCCCTCTGAGAGCCGCTGGAAAGCAGTGTGGCCCGGTGAGGCTCTCTGCGGGGGAGCAGCGATCTGCGCTGGGCGAGTCTGGTGTGTATCTGCACGGAGGTGGGTAACCGTGCACGCCCTCCCGACACACACACACACACACACACACACACACACACACACACACACGGGGTAACCGTGCACGCCCTCCAAGACAGACAGACACACACACACACACACACACACACACGGGGTAACCGTGCACGCCCTCCAAGACAGACAGACACACACACACACACACACACACGGGGTAACCGTGCACGCCCTCCAAGACAGACAGACACACATACACACACACACACACACAGGGTAACCGTGCACGCCCTCCAAGACAAACAGACACACACACACATATACACACTTCACCGAGGTGGGGTAACCATACACACACACATACACACACACACACACACACATACACACTTCACCGAGGTGGGGTAACCATACACACACACATACACACACACACACACACACACACACACACACACACACACACACTTCACCGAGGTGGGGTAACCTTGCACGCCCTCCCGACACGGGCGCGCAGCGCACCCCGCGGGGCCGGGAGCCTGGGAGGGGAGCCCGGGGAGGGGAGCCGCTCCGGGGGAGGCTGAGTGACAGCGGAGCGGGCCGGGCTGCGGGACCTGTCAGAGCACGCCGAGCCGGGCGCCCCGGGTCTCCCGGACGAGGTGTGCGCGCGGCGCGCCCCCCGCCTCGGTCCTGATTGTGAGCCCCAAAAACCAAGTGGAAAGGCAAACAGGTCCCCCCTGGAAACGCAGGGGCTCCCTTGCCGCCACCCACCCTTGATGGGAGCGGCCCCGACAGCTCCAAGCGCAGATTTGGCCCCGGCCACGGGGAAGTTTCCCCAGTGCGGAGCCTCCTGAAGCGAGAGCCAGAGACTCCCGACCTGGGGACGAACCGCGCGTCCCCTCCTCTGAGCGGCGGAGAGGCGCCCTCGGAAGCGGGATGTCGGGCTCCAGCGTCCGCCTTCATCCCCAGCCCGGCTCCCGGAGCCTGTAGCCGCGACTGGATGCCTCCTCCGGGTGGAGACAGCGGCTCGACGGTTCTCTTCCAGCCGAGGGGACGCGGTGGCCCCACTTCTGGGCAGACAGACGCCTCCGGGACCGCGCCCCCGCGCCGGGAGAGGGCACCGCGGGGCCGGAGGGGATGCGCGGGGGGAAAGGAGGCGCAGGGGAGGTCGCCCGGGGCCCACTCACCTCCCGTCGAAGTCGGCGGCCGCCGGCAGGTAGAGAGCGGCCCCGAGCACCAGCGCCAGGAGGAGATCCATGTCGGCGGCGGGACCCAGGCGGGGTGGTCGGTGCCGGGAACGGTGGGCGCTCGCCTCCTCGCCGCCCCCAGGCGCTGCGGCCGCCGCTGAGCTGCTGCTGCCCGCGGAGGAGAGCAGAGCGGCGCGGCCCGCAGCCCGAGCTGGTCTGCCGCGCGGCGCCCGGAGCCCCTCGCTCCCTCCCCGCGGGGGAGGCGCTGCGGGGGGAGCCGCGCGGCGGGCGGGGAGGGGCGGGGGGCGCGCGTGCGCTCGGGGGGGGGAGGGCGCCGGGCCCTGCCGCGGGGAGCTGCCGGCGGGCGGGCGGGGGCGTTGGGGGGGGGGGGGCAGCGTCTCCTGGGGGCCAGCCAAGCGGGGCGGACGCCAGGCCGGGAGGAGCGCTGCGCCTGGCCCGGCCCGGGAAGGCAGGGCGCCCGGGAGGGAAGGGACGCGGGCGGCGGGGCGCCTTGGGCGCGGACCGCAGCTCGAGCAGGTGGCGGCCGCCGGGGAGAGCCCGCAGGGGAGAACCCTGGCTTTCCCCCGACGGCGGAGAAGTCGGGGAGCAGAGAGGCCAATGGGGCTGGAGCGGAGCACCGTCTGCATTTGGTTGAAACCACAGCCCGACTTGGACACATTAGCAAAAGGCAAACTCCTGGGGTTTTGCTTCTCCCACATGGTTGGCAAAGGCATTTTTATTTTTTTTTTTTTTTCATTTTGGAATCCACCGAAGGAAATGCATGGCTCTCCAGTTGGGTTTTGAGGAAGAAACTTGTAGACTTTCTACCTCTGCCAGCTCAACTCCGAGAACATTAGAAGGATAGCGATGGTGGCCCCTCCAGGGCCACGTGCTGCCAGAGAGAGAAGGCGCTTAACTACTTGGCAGTCTGGTGGTGCCTGATCCTGGAGTGATCATTGAGAAACCATTTAAATCCATCACTGCTCCGATGTGGCAGAGTAAAATGCATTATAGGTTATCCCCCAAAATGTATACACACTCTGAGTACTAAAGGACTGCTCAGATAAAAACACGCAATGATTACCCTAAAACGCATGTTCAAAGCATCTAGTCCAATTCCTACCCCGAAATACTCCCAGGGCAGTGATCCGACATCTCCTATACCTCTCAGACCCAACCAATCTCTTTTCTCCTAATCCTTGCCTTTCTAGGACATTCCAGGCATGCCCCTGCCTTAGGGTCCTTGACCAACTGTTACTTCTCTCTGGACACAGATGTCTGCGTGGCTCACATTCTCACTTCATTCCCGTCTTTGCTCAGATGTCACCTCTTTGAGGAGACCAACCTTGACCAGCCTATTTAAAGCTGCAGCTTGCCCCCTCCTCGAGCACCCTGTCTGTTCTACTTTGTTTTCCTCCTATACTACTAATCTTACAGTTTCCTACATAATTTATTTCTTCTTTTTGTATGTTTTCTTTCTGCTAGAATGCAAGCTCTACAAGGACGAGGTTCTTTGTTGGGTGCACAGAACAGTGCCTAGGGAATAGTAAGTACTCCTAAACATTTATCGAATAGGTTTGTTACATTACAAACTTTGCTCCCCATCTTTACTTTCTTTTTGAGGTTTCTCAATTTCACATTTTTAATGGAAAGTTCTGTGGCCCAGTGACCTCACTATCCTGATCTCTTGGTGTGTATAAAAACAGGGAATTTTCTCTGAGAAAAGGAAAAAATAATGGTTTCAACTTAAACGACTCTTTGATTTCCAAGTTGTTTTCTGTTAGCAAAACAAGTTTCTATTTTAATCTCAGGAAATATCCATGCCAATTCAGGCTTGGGACATTATTTTAGGCAAACAGCTTGGTGTCATCCATTTCAGATCTTTCTAATGTGGTCCAAAAATGTAGGAGTCAAAAAAATTTTTTTTTCGCAGAAAATCAAATTTTTGTAAGTGCACTGTGGGCTGGGTTCCAGACTCCAGTGGCTACTCCTTAGCCATTTTCTTTGTTTATTGGTTCCTGGATTGGATTTGCAAATAAGCCCCACCAGAGGAATGGGTGATTAGGGAGAAGGGACTAACCTCCTGGCTAAACACTGGAGATAGAAGGAGAGGGAAAACAGTGGCGGGTGAAAACAGGACAACTCTCTGGAACAAAAGGGCATTGCCCCATCAGCATGTCTCTTTCATTTGTCCTTATCTTTTCTTTGGCCTAGAAAACACTCCATCTTCCTTCTTCATTTGGACACTCTCCACTTATCCTTTGGGTCCAAGCTTAGCTGACACTTACCAGGGAAGCCCTTTGATCCTTTGCTTGGTTGAGCTTCCTGTGGTATGTGCTTCTACAAACCCATGCATTTTCTGGGGTAACTCTTTTTTTTTTTTTTTAAATATATTTTATTGATTTTTCACAGAGAAGAAAGAGAGAGGGATAGATTGTTAGAAACATCGATGAGAGAGAATCATCGATCAGCTGCCTCTTGCACACCCCCCACCAGGGATGTGCCTGCAACCAAGGTACATGCCCTTGACTGGAATTGAACCCTTCAGTCCACAAGCCGACGCTCTATCCACTGAGACAAACCGGTTTCGGCTGGGGTAACTCTTAATGCACAGTTGTAATTGCTTCTCTACCAGTCTAGTTTCTCATGAGACACAAATACAACCAATAGGAGGGCAAGCGTAGTTGTCACTCTATCCCTTGTGCATTAAAATCAGCAACTGCTAAATATAGGTTATCCCAATAATGTATACACACTCTGAATAATTATTATTCCTAGTGCGTTAAATCTAAAAAGAAAGAAACATCAAACTATCTGAACGAAGTACGTGTACATTTTTGAGTGGTACCCTGTAGGTTGAATTAGGTTGGATTGAATTCTGCCTGGTGAACTTAACTTCTTTCTTGAGTGAGCTGTAGCTAATTATATCAGTTTTTGTTGCATCATGGAATGAGGAGATCCTAAATGAATTCCATGTTCTAACTGGCTAATATACTGCTCTTATGACCACCAGTGATCATTCCAAAAAAGAGGTGGAGTTCCCACACAGTGGCATTTCACTATCTGTCTTAAAAACAAACAAGAAAGAACCAAATCAAACAACTTGCTTTTTGCCCTGCTGGGGTGGCTCAGTGACCTATGAACCAGGAAGTCACAGTTCCATTCTAGGTCAGGGCACATGCTCGGATTGTGGGCTCCATCCCAAGTGGGGGTTGTGCAGGAGGCACTGATCAATGATTCTCTCTCTCCATTGATGTCTCTCTCTCTCTCTCTCTCTCTCTCTCTCTCTCTCTCTCTCTCTCTCTCTCTCCCTTACTCTCTGATATCAATAAAAAAATGTATTAATTTTTAGCAATATTTGTACTTTTCCAGTAGGACAACTTTTTGGTTAGGTTTCATACCAGGTAATGCTACCTTGTAAGTTGTAATCCTGATTTTCACACAAATAATTATCTATCACTGGTCACAATACAACATAGGTAAGCAACAACGTAAAACTAAACAAACACAACTTCAAACACTTGGGGATTGAAGCGCTTGATTATTTAGTCTTTTCCCCCCTCACAAATATTTGTTGAGAGCCTGCAATGCATTGGCCACTTCTGGGTGCTGGGATTCAGCTGGGATCAAGACAAGGCTGTGGCCTGAAAGAGCTGACCCAGCAGTAGGTGGACAGAAATAATAGGCATGATGAAGGCAGGGTAAAGATGTAAAGAGAAGGTAAAGGAAGGATACGGTGATAAAAATGATGGAATATGATTTTAGATTGGATGATTTGATCACTCCTGGAGAAGTGACACTTGAGCGGAGACTGAATATAGGGAGAGCTGGGAGATATCTGGGCAGGAGAGTGAGAGATGTGTTTTCTCTATCAAGTTTTCTTAGCTATTGTCATTGCTAACGATGAAGCAAGCTCCCCCTTGTCCCCAAGGCAATAGTAGCCCAGGATAGGACTATTGCTTTAAAAACTCTTATCAGCTAGTTCAGTGGTCGGCAAACTCATTAGTCAACAGAGCCAAATATCAACAGTACAACGATTGAAATTTCTTTTGAGAGTCACATTTTTTACACTTAAACTTCTTCAAACGCCGCCTCTTCAAAATAGACTCACCCAAACCACGGTATTTTGTGGAAGAGCCACACTTGAGGGGCCAAAGAGCCACATGTGGCTCTGGAGCCACAGTGTGCCGACCACTGAGCTAGGAGAAGGCTGTGGAACACACAGCTGCTGTTCACAGGAATTCTGACTCCCAGCTGAGCAAGAATGATGGAGTTTCTCTGCTCTGCAGTGGAGGAAGCCCGAGGGCAGCCAGTCAGGTCACCCCTGCTTCTCCGCCTTGACCATTAATCTTGCGTGGCCACATCAGAAGTGACTGTTAGAACATATGCCTTCCTTGGGGGCTGTATATCACTGCCTGTTCTTTTTCTGCTGCTGGAACTGCAATGTCCCGAGTGTTGCTTTAAGGAGCTAATAGAGACAGGCGTATTCAGGCCAGACTCAAGGTTTCTGCGGCTACAAAATATCCTTAAAACCCGGATAGGCTTTTGATCTAATTGCTTCCAGTCAGTTTTTTGTGCAGATAACCAATGGCAAAGTCTTTCCTGGTCCTGGTTTTTAAGCCTGCTTTATTTCTTTGCTACCATGTGTCCATACCTCACCCTTTCATCTTAAGGGAGGCCACCTTGAGAGTCGCTGAAATAACAGGGCTGTTCGGGAGGGCACCACCCTTACTCTGATCCTTGCCACAAGACCCGGATCCCTTTATCTACATTAATGTTCAATCCCCAGGGAAGAGGGGGCACTTTCTGGACATTCTCATTTTCTTTCATTTCTGCTTCCACAGCAGCCAGTTCTAGCCTGAGCTCATCTATTTCTCAAGATGCCTTCCTAAAAGCAACAAGGAGCAGCCAACATTTTCATGTTTTGCAACAATATTCACTTTATCTAGATGTATGTTGTGCCTTCCACATGATTTTACAAAATAGCCTGAGTGTTACTAGCTTTCCAGCCTGTACACAGTAGCTATAGTTATCCCACAATTGGAGCACATCATCCTGCCAAAGAATAGATCATTTAAAAAACTATTTAAATTCTTATAGTATGTGCAACACACACACACACACACACACACACACACACACACAGAGAGAGAGAGAGAGAGAGAGAGAGAGAGAGAGAGAGAGAGAGAGAGAGAGAGAGAGAGAGAGAGAGAGAGCTCATCTCCCATAGGAATATCAGTGCAGGAGATCTAAATAAATGATTACCAAGTGCCGTGTAAGGATACATTAGAAGAATCCTACAATCAAG